GACAGGTAAGCGGGACACAGGTACAGGTAAGCGGGACACAGGTGCAGGTGCACTAGTATCATCATGATTTAGAAACCTGATTGTCAACTACCACCTGAGTGAAAACCACACAGTCTCACCTGAGTGCCCAACAGACAGTCACCACCTGAGTGCCCAACAGACAGTCACCACCTGAGTGCCTAACAGACAGTCACCACCTGAGTGCCCAACAGACAGTCACCACCTGAGTGCCCAACAGACAGTCACCACCTGGTGCCCAACAGACAGTCACCAGTGCCCAACAGACAGTCACCACCTGAGTGCACAACAGAGTCACCACCTGAGTGCCCAACAGACAGTCACCACCTGGTGCCCAACAGACAGTCACCACATGAGTGCCCAACAGACAGTCACCACCTGAGTGACACACACCAGTCACCACCTGAGTGCCCAACAGACAGTCACCACCTGAGTGAGTGACAACAGACAGTCACCACTGAGTGCCCAACAGACAGTCACCACCTGAGTGCCCAACAGACAGTCACCACCTGAGTGCCCAACAGACAGTCACCACCTGAGGTCCAACAGACAGTCACCACCTGGTGCCCAACAGACAGTCACCACATGAGTGCCAACAGACAGTCACCACCTGAGTGTCCAACAGACAGTCACCACCTGAGTGCCCAACAGACAGTCACCTGAGTGTCTAACAGACAGACTGAGGCCCAACAGACAGTCACCACCTGAGTGCCCAACAGACAGTCACCACCTGGTGTCCCAACTTGTGTCTATCACCACCTGACCAGTCACCACCTGAGTGCCCAACAGACAGTCACCACCTGAGTGCCCAACAGACAGTCACCACCTGAGTGCCCAACAGACAGTCACCACCTGAGTGCCCAACAGACAGTCACCACCTGAGTGCCCAACAGACAGTCACCACCTGAGTGCCCAACAGTCACCACCTGAGTGTCCAACAGACAGTCACCACCCTGAGTGCCCAACAGTCACCACCTGAGTGTCTAACAGACAAACCCGACAAAAGCTCTACACAACACTACACTACTCACACCAAACCTTAATTTACTGACAATCAAGATTTAAAGATGGCTTCCTAGTGGATTCTTTCATCTTAGCGGGAGAATCTTGGCGGGAACTTTGATGACGGTTGTAGCCCACGGGAGGCGCGTTGATTGGCCTTCGGAGTAGCCCACCTAAAGGACAGCGGGCTGGCTGATTGGCTGTGGCAGCTGAACACGGGTTAACCTAACCTACATGATATTCGCTGATTGGCCATGACAGTTGATCATTCATTAAAAGATTAAGAACCAGTTGACTGTGTTTTGAGTGGTCATGTGCACCCACCACGCTTGATTATTGTGTGTGTGTGTGCTTGCTTGCTTGCTTGCGTTCGTCCCTGTGTTTGTCTTGTGTGTGTGTGTGCTTCCTTGCGTTCGTCCGTGTGTTTGTCTTGTGTGTGTGTGTGTGTGTGTGTGTGTGTGTGCGCGTAGTATTTTTTTCACCTCAGATGTCATGATGCAGTGTAACGGAAAATTTACTTCATATTAGCTTTATTGTATCGATAATTGATTTCTTAGAATGAGCGTGTATGAGCGAGAGATTAATGCTCACTGCAGCGTGAAGCCCAAGCGAATGATCTGGCTTAAGCTAATGAGAAATACCTCTTCCTACCGCCACCTGTTGCTCCTCCACCCACACCCTTTACCCATATCCACATTCTTCACCTATCCATACTCTCCACCTACATCCACACCATTTGCCCTCCTCCACCATCACCCACGTTATTGTAAAGTTACTGTAGCCTATTGAGAGACGTACACATTAGGGTATTTGTGATGAGTTGGTTCTGGCTAGGTGTTCGAGGCAGTGTGGATATAGCATACTGCAAACTAAACCTTTGGTATTCAAGAAGGCAGTGTGGCCAGGAATGCGCTCGACTCCTTTCATGTCCCTGTTTTGTAAAGTTTGGTACCCATTTTGAGCTGGATGAAATAGGGTTAGTGGTGGTGTGGGTTAGCTGTGGTGTAGGTTAGCTGTGGTGTAGGTTAGTGGTGGTAGTTGTGACTGAATAGTGATGATTGTTATTACTATTTGCGGGGAATAATAAAACCTTTCGTCATTTGTCTGTAAACAGTTGACTTCAAATTTGAATTCCAAATGGCGGAACCTGACGTAGTGAGTGTTAGGGCGGTATTATATCTTGAGAATATTTTTATTTCTTTAGGCAGGTCTGGGGAGCTTCAGTGCCTTCAGACCATTATCTTGACAGTTCATGAACCTCAAGTTTCTACACTACGTCATTTATTATTCTGAAGCTTCTGAAGTAATTATTTCTCACTTCAACGAAAATCCTTATATTTAGGTCGTATCCCAATAATTCCTCAGAGGTAATACTTTAAATCTGGAGGTTATGTACTGATATTAACCACCCTGTGTACTGGTTCCCCTCTGTGCTGAATAAAATCGTCTGATAACCAAATGAAATATTAAAAGTGGCGCCCCCGTAGTGAAGAGGCTATGAAGCGTAGGTGATACAAGTAACTGTTCAATATACAAGCAGTTAGTCACTTGTTTATGGGTACACGCGGGAAACAACACTAGTACAATGTTAAAGGGGAATAAATTCTAACTTCCGTACAAGATTTAGGAGCCTATTGTTAGTCTGTGTTATTGTAAGATATAAATATATGTCATTATGTAATAGGTTATGTCATGGAATCTTTCTTTCATGTACATTATCATTATTTGAAGGTGTAGGGAGGAGCGGTCAGATCTTATGCCCAACCCAAATTCGTCATCATCCAGTGTGTAATGTTATTTGGTCATGGTGTTGCCCCTCTAGTGCCGAAAATACTTATTAGTGTGTGTGTCTCGGGAACGGGGTGTGAGTGTCTCGGGAACGGGGTGTGTGTGTCTCGGGAACGGGGTGTGAGTGTCTCGGGAACGGGGTGTGTGTGTCTCGGGAACGGGGTGTGTGTGTCTCGGGAACGGGGTGTGTGTCAAGAGTGAGATGACGGGGTAGTCCTCTGGTGGTCGCTTCAGGTACTCTTCATTTCCTGCCAATGTCTCCTCAACTCTTCGTTTATTCGTCTCATTTAAAACACTCGTGTCCTCATAACATTACGGAAGTGTTGTAAAAGGAGGATTTTACTTCCTCGTGGGGGAAAAAGTGGTTAGATATTTATTTAGGGAGAGAATTTGTAAGAAAACGTCACATGTGGTCTGGTGTAAATCTGAAAATAGAAGTCTTATTACCATGGAGTTTTTTTTTTAATGTACTGTTGTGGTTTTGTTGTGATGTCCTTACTGATGTTTAGAGAGATAAGTTTGGTCACCTGAAGAATCTCCCTCCAAGAGCTACCTGGGGAGGAGATTATTACCAAAGTTTTAGTGAATGACACCTCAGCATTATCTCAATCGATTTACATCTAATTTAAGATCTTGTATGATTGGTCAATGTCATTCAACTATTGTATTTATTTTTCACAATGTTACACTGACAGTTTCCCCCTCTGTCCTATAACCTCAACAAAGCATCAAATTCATCATAGTTCTTGATGACTTTTAACCTTTGACCTTTCCTGGGCAGATGATTATCACCTAAACTGCCTGTCTGGAGTCGAAATATACCGCACCCTATTCTACAGTTTCATCCCATTGCTTAAATTCATTCGGGGGAAGAAGGTGGGATTGAGTAGCTAGTTCATAGAGGTAAAAATTGTTTGGTATTGGGTAATCTCGTTGTTATGTACTGGGGGTTATATTACGTTTCAGAGTAAAATAATAGTATTAGAACCTTTTTTTTTGTTATAGCGTGGTAGAGAGTTTTGTCCTGACGCGTCACGGAAGGGGCTTGAGGAATTTGATCAGGGTTTCAAAGTTAGTACGATGCTGTTTTGGGGATGTGTGTGTGTGTGTGTGTGTGTGTGTGTGTGTGTGTTTAAAAGATGATCGTCAATTGATCTTTAAAGAGCAACTGATCAACATAGAAATGGGGATCATTCTTACCCGATATGATGTGGTTTATTGCCCACCTGAAAATCGGTCATTGCAGGTATCCATAACAAAGACTGTATGACAAACTATATTATGACACGAATGACTATAACACAAACTACCTTATGACACGAATGACTATAACACAAACTACCTTATGCCACGAAAGACTATGACACAAACTACCTTATGCCACGAAAGACTATGACACGAGGTTCTCTATGACACGGCAGACATACTTGACACTAAAGATTCTGACGACATGAAAACAAATATATGACGAGCGAGAGGCCACCATACACACGTTCAGTTCCCACCTAGATGATTCCTTACAAGTGGAGGAAAGATTAATTTAGAATTTTAGACGTATGTGAATGTTGGTAGAATGCGTATATAGGGGATGATGTGGCTTCAGCTGACGCGCGTGTGTGTGTGTGTGTGTGTGTGATGCTGGAACTCTCGCACCTCACATACATACACCGGTGAATATTGAGTGCAAATATTGTAATTGAACAGAAGAAGTTGAGTGGAGACAGTGGTGGTTGCAGAGTGGGTGGCGGAGTGTGGTGGTGACGGCGGCGGCCACCACTGTGATGTGTGGCGTGGTGGGCGGGGTCACCACATACACACACGCATACATGTACACACACACACACACAGACGAATATGCTAACACATACAGAGACACATACACATACGTACACAACAAACATACCCATATGTGCACAACAAACAAACACAGACGTACACAACAAACATACACAGACGCACACACACACACAGACGCACGCACACATACAGACACACATAGACGCACGTATGCACGCACGCACGCACATACCGACGTACGCACGTAGTGGCCATCGCCTAAGCCTAAGTAGCTACGGCGGGCGCGGGATGTGAGTGTGTGAGTGTATGCGTGCGTGTGATGTTTGTGTGTGTACGTGTGTGCGTGCGGGGAGGGCAGGGGGAGGGCAGGCCAGGCCGTCAGACGTACTCCAGCGGCCGGCGCGCAGGGTGTTGCTTCTCCCGGTGTCTGCCTCGCGCCCTCGCCTCTCTAGCGCCGCGCCCGCCGCCCTACCGCAGTGTCAGCCTCCCCCACGCCCACTTCTGCACGACACACGCCCACATCGCTACCGTGGAGGTGCTCTACGCCAGGAATAACGGTGCATGGTGAGTACAGGAGTAGGGACGATGCATTCACCTGGCCTTGGCTCCAGGTGAATCCATTAAAGTAGCTCAAACTAGAACCCTAGACACGAGGACCATGGGCCACCCTCTCCCCTCATGGGCGGTCTATCATAATCGTGGGCTGTTTCATCACCTACCGGAGGTTCGTCGTCGCTCTCGTGGGCGGCCAGTACCACCTACCGGAGATTTGTCGCACTCATGGGCGGTCTGTCACAATCATGGGCGGCCTGTAACACCCACCGTGGAATTGTCGCTCCCGTGGGCGGCGTGTACTCCACATAGACGTTATGTTTCACCCACTGGTAGTGTTGCACTCATGGGCGGTGGACCTGTCGTGGGGAGGACCTCAGTCCCTTCACGGCCAGAACCTGAGTTGTGTTGAGTAGTCGTCCTCGTGTTGTGGTGACGAAGAGCAGCACTTGGTGACACCTTGACACTGTTCGTAACATACGGTAACACCTTGACACTGTTTGTAACATACGGTAACCCCCTTGACACTGTTTGTAACATACGGTAACCCCCTTGACACTGTTTGTAACATACGGTAACCCCCTTGACACTGTTTGTAACATACGGTAACCCCCTTGACACTGTTTGTAACATACGGTAACACCTTGACACTGTTTGTAACATACGGTAACCCCCTTGACACTGTTTGTAACATACGGTAACCCACTTGACACTGTTCGTAACATACGGTAACCCTCTTGACACTGTTCGTAACATACGGTAACACCTTGACACTGTTTGTAACATACGGTAACCCCCTTGACACTGTTTGTAACATACGGTAACCCCCTTGACACTGTTTGTAACATACGGTAACCCCCTTGACACTGTTTGTAACATACGGTAACCCCCTTGACACTGTTTGTAACATACGGTAACACCTTGACACTGTTTGTAACATACGGTAACCCCCTTGACACTGTTTTCATAGTACATGGTAACACATACACTCATCACACATAATACCTTGGCAGTGTGTTCGTTAAGGTACATATGGTAACACTTTCATAGTTTATACACCATTGTCACAGTTATGAGAGCACTGGGTGTAACAGGAGATCGTTACTACTTTTTATAACATCATGACAAATTTTCTAAGACCGGGACAAACTATATAACACTGATAGCTATAGTCTTGGTAACCGTGGCAGTAGTTGTAACACGTTAAGTCTTTGTAACATGTTGATAATCTTTGTAACAGTGTCGTATAGTTATTAAAACATAAATAATCTTTATTATACATTATCAGTCTTTGTAATAATGGCTAGGCAAACTTTGTAACACCGTAACATTATTTTCAGTACCATGGTAACTCTACTAGACATAATAACCCTTGTAACATTATGATATTATTATTAGTGTAACTCCGTGTGACAGTGACAGTAAAATCGTGACATTATTACTTGAAAAAATACTTGTAACACATTGACTACACACCGTTGTAACCGTGACAGTTTTTGTAACTCAGTGACATATTTTGTAACCTTTTGTAACGAAACTTAAAAATATAGACACTATTGTTACTTGGTTAAGGTTAGGTTAAGGATGGCATCTTAAGAGGGCGTCAGGTGCCATAGAGTCAGCTTCCGTTTCTTATTGTTTCATCTGTAAAACCCTGAGGCTGTTTGTTCTGTGGCGACTAATGTATTGTCTTGACAGTTCTTTATGACACCTTGACTGTTCTTTATGACACATTAACAGTTCTTTATGACACCTTGACTGTTCTTTATGACACCTTAACAGTTCTTCATAACGTCTTGACAGTTCTTCATAACGCCTTGACAGTTATTTGACACCTTGACAATTCTTTATGACACCTTGACAGTTCTTTATGACACCTTGACAATTCTTTATGACACCTTGACAGTTCTTTATGACACCTTGACAATTCTTTATGACACCTTGACAGTTCTTTATGACACCTTGACAATTCTTTATGACATCTTGACAGTTCTTCATAACGCCTTGACAGTTATTTGACACCTTGACAATTCTTTATGACACCTTGACAGTTCTTTGACACCTTGACATTTCTTTATGACACCTTGACAGTTCTTTATAACACCTTGACAGTTCTCTATAACACACCACAACACGACAGCTCCATATAACACATCACAAGACCTTGACAGCTCCCTATAACACATCACAAGACCTTGACAGCTATCTATAACACATCACAAGACCTTGACAGCTGTCTATATCACATCACAAGACCTTGGCAGCTCCCTATAACACATCACAAGACCTTGACAGCTATCTATAACACATCACAAGACCTTGACAGCTATCTATAACACATCACAAGACCTTGACAGCTATCTATAACATATCACAAGATCTTGACAGCTCCCTATAACACATCACAAGACCTTGACAGCTCTCTATAACACATCACAAGATCTTGACAGCTCCCTATAACACATCACAAGACCTTGACAGCTCTCTAACACATGACGTCTTAACAGTAATTATAACACATCATAACACAATAATAACATTATTCGTTACACCGTGATACAAGAGTTACATTCTCCTAACACAACAGTAACACCATTAGGGTAACACTGTCATATCATAACATTGTAGTAACACCCTCGTAACACTACCTAAACACCGCAACACCACCTTCGTAACACTACCGAAGCACCATATTAACACCCCCGTAACACCATAACACCCCCGTAACACCATAACACCCCCGTAACACCATAACACACCGTAACACCATATTAACACCATCGTAACACTAACATAACACCGTAGCACTATATTAACATCATCAGAATACCGTAACTTCAGCTGTAATGTTTGTCATGCACATTAGTGAGACTTACACTGTACGCCTTCATGTGTACACACGTCCTTCGCCCCCCCCTTACATACGCTCGAGAACCACTACCACCATTATTACCACCACCACTGAGTACCACTACTACCACCATCACCACTGAGTACCACTACTACCACCATCACCACTGAGTACCACTACTACCACCATCACCACCACTAACACCACCACCAACATAGCTTGAGGATAACAGTACAGCAAACAATGAGTGGCAGTGGATACTAACATGACCCCCTACCTTGCCTTGAGTGACATTTACCAGTTCTCTTGATAAACACAGGATTAACACACAACACTCCGTCCTAACCTCCGTCTTGTTGCTTCTGGTTACACGGGGGTGAACAGAGACACTTTATGGTTTTGTGAAGAAATATTATGGTTTATTGTTCTTTATATACAATATTAGTTTTAGATGAATTCTGGGGCAGAGAGTTAATTTAGAGAGGAATGAACATTTTACAAGGCGGTGTCGAGGAGACTTTCGTGACTGTAGTGGTAGTGATTTGATCAGCTTGATATACGTGTACAAGGATTAAGTGTTGTGTTGTTACTTCGTGTTGTTTGAGGTCCCTTGCAGGCTTCAGAGACGGTTAATTGCCTAAATCTCACCTTAACGAATTAGTGAATCAGTTCCACACTATTAAATCGTGGGTTTAGTGAAGTTTATAAATATATGTAGATTTTCAACTAGATTATGTAGTTATATTTACTTTTGTGTATAATTTTCACCATTTTTTTTAAATAAGTTATCGTGGAGGTTGTGTAAGCAGCGTCAAGACCTGCTTATAAAGTTGTATACTTCAGTGATTGTAACAGCAGCAGTAAAAGGTTTCTTCTAACACACACACATACAGACACAGATGTTGTCGAGTTTTATGACACATTACACACGCTGGTTGATGCTTTGACGCTCACCAAGTGTTTCTTTCTTACAATGTTGGAGTTTTCATGTATAAAGACTCAACAAGGATCTCATACAGTAAAGATTGTGTCCTAGGTGTCAATAGGGAAAATTTCAATACTGATATAAGGATGAAAATATATACAGAGGCGTTGTTAAATGTTCGCAGTCGGTTCATTACAGTTTTATACAATTCAAGATTTCTCAAGTGTGTGTGTGTGTGTGTGTGTGTGTGTGTGTGTGTGTGTGTGTGTGTGTGTGTGTCAAAGTAAATATCAAAATACTGAACGCTGTAACTTTATAATGATGGACCAGCGCGCTACGAACTCATTTTTTTCTTAAATTTTCCGGGAAGAATTCTTAAAAAAAAGACTAGCGGGATCTATTGCACTAACGTTTCAAGATGATTTTATCTACGTTGCCAATATCATCATAAAGGTATTAAAAAGAGGTTTGTCTTCATCTCCGTTTATTGTTATGGGATTAGACAGATATATTGTTGTGATAAAGTGAGTGAACTACACCCCGCTTTAGTCTGAGTTGGTTGTAAATATAAAGTCCTATGAATTACTGATACGGAGGCGCGCCATAGATTCATTACGTCAAACAAACAAGACAGAGATTATAAAAGAGAACGTAGGTATTAATTTGAAGATTGATCACAATACTACAAATATTCAAATTTCAAAATGTAAGAACTTGTTTCATAGTTCTTGGCTTCAGCTCTTTGGTACGACGGTGAATAAATATATTTGGTTCAGGGATACAACTATAGTGTACCTTTGGTTTATCGTAAAACTGTCAAGGTCTGAAGATTGGTATGATTAGGCTACGAGTTGCCGCCGGGTTAAGAATGATGTAGCTCTATTTTATCTTTTACACTAAGGTGGATAGAGACGGTGGGTGATTAGGTAAACTTGTGCCTATGAACTTCCCAAGTGTCATAGGTAATTCGGGACGTAAATAGCAGCCCCAAATTACGTCAATAATTACACAAACACACTTCACCTCTCACACCATGTAAAGTAGACCAAGTTGACCCTTATGAATAAAACTCCTATACTGCTTCTTCGTGTTGCTCCACGTGTGTTCAGGCAGCTGCAGGAAACCTTACCTCAGGACAGGGAGCTTGGAAGGGGGATCAGGACAAGGGTTGGGGGGGGGGGGCTCAGAATAGGGACTTAGAGGTCAAGGGATATGCTTAGGTCAGGTCAGGTCACG